ATATGTACTTGGAGCTATTTGCTATTTCTGTTTGATTTTATAACCATCTCTCATATGCTAGTATTGCAGTTTTACGATAAAGTGTATACTTTCTTTGACAGAAGAAAATTTTGAGGCTGGGCGTAGCAGCTCAGACTTGTAATCCTGGCTATTCAGGCAACTGAAACAAGAGGATCACAAGTTCAAGGCCAGCCTGAGAAACTTAGAGAGACATTGTCTTAAACTCAGTGATCCTCCTGCCTCAGCCTCCTGAATACTGGGATTACAGACATGCACCACCACACTGGGCATCCTAGTTATTTTTGTTTGTTTATTATTCCAATGAATTTTGGCATCATTTCTCTAGTTTTCCCCCAAATTTTGATAATTTAAATACTAGTTATATAATGATTATATAAATAATATAATTAATATTTAAATCTATTATATTAATATAGGGTAAATTGATACCTTAATTATATTGAGTTTTTCAATTCAATAACAGTGTAAAAACTAGGCATGGTGACACACACCTATAATCCCAGCACTTGGGAGATGGAGACCCTAGAATCACAACAAGTTCAAGGTTGGCCCAGGACTATGTAGTGAGTTCAAGATCAGCCTGAACTACACAGTAAGACTCTATCTCAACAAAAACAAAGAGATAGACAAACAAAACCTCAGGAACCTTTTAAGTTTTTCTCTGTATAGAGTTTGCTCATTCCTTTTGTAAGGGTAATCTGAAGCCCAGTGTGGTGATACACAATGTGATCCCAATACTTGAGAAGCTGAGTCAGGAGGATCACCGTGAGTTCAGGGCCAGCCTGGGCTACATAGTGAGTTCAAGACCAGACTGAACTACATAGCAAGACCCTGTCTCAAAAAACAAAAATGAAACAAAACAAAAACAGAAAGATAATCTGAAACATTTTATCTTTTTGTTATCCTTGGGGACCTTACAAATTAGTATGTCAGGAATGACCCTGCCATACCTTCAGAGTTCCTTTTTGCCTCTGGGATTAAATCAACTTTTAAACCTCACATCCAGGGATTTCCACATCCTGTTGAAACTTTGTTTTCCACTCATCTCCTTCTAACCTGTAGCCTCTCAGTGGTCTGTGAACCAGCTTTGACCTTGCACAGCTTTCTGGTCAGGCTCTTCTGTCCCTGCCTTCCCGCTATATGTTTACGAGCTTTCCTCCATAGGGACCCCCTGGACAACTCCCGTTAGAAATGCCCTCTCTCTTCCTTAACCTCTTCAGCATGTATTATGTGTGCCATTTGCCTGGTGACTGATCCAGTATTACCTCGTGACAGTGTTGGTATTATTAAAATGAATTGACATTGTGTCTTGCGTGGCTGCAAGATGAACTGCTGGTGACTTTGGGTCTGCTTCCTAAGTGAATGGGGACCTCAGGGAGTTGAGCAGCCATGAGCCTGGCAGCCTCTTATAGTGGTAGAAGTGTGAGGAGGACACTAGTTCATGGGACAGCACACTGTGTCCAGCACTTTCTGTGTTATGAACTCATTTATCTGCGAAAGCCTCATTTCCTGGTTTAAGCCAGCTTCCTAACCTTTTCTCTTTTTTTTTCCAGTTTTAATTGAGTTTATTGGTACATTTTAGGTTCACAGTACAGTTACATTCATTGTTGGGATCTTGTACCTCTACATGACAGGTCTTGGTTCTCGCTTTTTCCCCTTGTCCCTGCCCTCCCTTCACCCCCTCCTCCCCTCCCCATCTACAACCACTTTATTTCCATCTTTTCTCCTTACCTTTTCTTTCTAGACTAATTTGTAGGAAATAAGAGTATCTGTATGGTGATCATTTAAAATATGCCTGTAAAGCTGTTTGACTGGAAATATTGGAATGGTAATGGCCGAGTGGAGTGCAGATGGGCCATGGTTTTGGTGTCGTGGGTATACCTGACCTCAGGTAAACTTTCGAAGGGAGATACAGAGAGAGTTCACCCACTGAGGACGCCCAGACAATAATTCTGGGCCAGAGCCAGCTGGGGAGGAAGATGGGTTTTCTAGGAGCCGCTCTCATCTGTGTGAGGAGCAAGGAGAGGTAGAGAGAGGGGCAGGGAGGCCTGCAGAACGATGGGCCCGAGGGCAGCGGAGCTGAGCCAGGCCCTGCTCACCCACCCTTCCCGCGTGAGCAGGCCAAGGGCTCCGGAAACGACCCAGCCTCCTCCCCACAGCAGGTCCCCTGGGGGCGTCGGGCCGGTCCGTAGAGTCCCCCCCAGCCTGGCTGGCCCAAAGCCACAGCTTCTCCTGCAATTGGGAGGCTCCTGAGCAGCATTTGGGCATGCAGGAGAATATGCTAAGCTCGAAAAGTGGAGCAGCCCAAGTGAAAGAGCTACTGGAAATTAACCCTCACCTCTGGGCCTTTTGTCTCCTTTTGCTCATCATTAGCGTCTCGGATTCTGCCCTGTGTCTCAGTACTGAAGTGTTTCAAGTGCTGGGGATTCTGTAACCACCC